AGAAAGTCCCTTTTCCCTCACTCTTTTCGTGGAGAGAAACAAAGAGTAAAGGAAGGTAGATGTTATCTGAGGCTTGCTCACATACTGAGGTAATTTTTGAGAGCTGCAGAGCCTCTTGCTGACTCATAACTGGGGCTTGTTTTCAAACCCTTGATAGATTTTTGAATTCTCTTACAATGGCAAATAAGGATGCTCACCTGGGGACAAGCTGGGGCTCTGCCTTGGCGAGCTGGATCATCTTTGTGATCTTTTTGCCACGGGGACAGCAGGTGCTGCTGTGTCCCTCTTGGGCTCCTCTTGCTGGCAGTCAGTGGCTGGCAGCTTTGTCCAAGGGCTGGGGATGGGATGGGAGACGGGATGGGAGATGGGATGGGATGGGATGATGGGATGGGGAGCCACTGCCAGGAGTGAGTGAGTCATTGCACAGCCTTGGTTTGCAAGTCAGTGTAGGACGTACCCTGCCCCTGCCCATGGCTGAGCAGTGGGTTGGGGCTCAGCCCTGTCCCCATGATGGAACACAAACCCACTTGTGGCCAGCAGTGTGTGGAATGATGTGCTGAGAAAGAGACGGGCAGGATGAGACCTTTCTCTTTGAGTGAGGAAACCCAGCTGGTCATTTGGTTGGTCTAGAGGAAGAGAGATGGGGTTCTTTGGATATCACTGCATATTCCACACAGCAGCCCTCTGCTTTTAGTAATGTGGTATACAACGTGCCTGATCCTCCCTCCGTTGTGAGCCTGGTGGAAGCATGTCCTGTTTTCCATTCGTTTATTTATTTATCATCTTGTTTTCAGCCTCTGCAAAGCTTGATATTGGTATAGAGCCTGGGAAGTGTGCACAGAGCAAAGTAACAGATAGTTGTGATTTGGTTACAAGGCAATAATTTAAGTGGACAGGTTTAGCTGATAACATAAAGCACACAGGAGAAATCGCTTCGGTTTATAAATGTCAGCAGAGCCCCTGCGAGTGAGCTGCTGCCTGGTGCTGCTGCTCCATCCAATATATTAAAAGGAGATATAAACAGATGTCTGAAAAAATCTGCCTGACCAAGATTAAAAGAATGGGGCTATAAATTAAAGTCTTCCTTGGCGTCTCTTTAAGCAACTTTATGGACAGAGCGCGTCCAAATAAACGAGTGCTAATGCTCGGAGGGGTGGTTTGGGCTGCAGAGTCCCCGGGGTGGGGACGGCTTGTGGGGACAGCAGTGTCAGTCAGAGCTGGCATGGGAGACCAAAGCCTGTCCTGGTGCTTCTGCAGCTGATAAAGGGATTAAATCAGGAACAGGAATAACACCATCCCTGCAGTGTCGCCACAGGATCAGCGTCTCCTGTTTGGAAAATAAACGCTGTCGCTCTGCTCTGACATTTATTCCCAATAAAGACCTTGTCGTTTGTGCAGTGACAAGGGTTTTATCCTCTGGGAGTACTTCACCTGTTGGGCACTGTCTTTTTGGCGTGAGGCAGTGAGTGATTGAGGGGCAGCAGAGGCTGGAGCTCTGCTCAGACCCTGCGGCTTTCTCTCGATCCATCGCCCCAAGGCAATGCAGTAACACCTATTCAAACAGAGAGCAGGTTCAGACTGGATATTGGGCAGGAATTGTTCCCTGGTAGGGTGGGCAGGCCCTGGCACAGGGTGCCCAGAGCAGCTGAGGCTGCCCCTGGATCCCTGGCAGTGCCCAAGGCCAGGCTGGACAGGGCTTGGAGCAGCCTGGGACAGCGGGAGGTGTCCCTGCTGTGGCAGGGGTGGCACTGGATGAGCTTCAAGATTCCTTTCCACCCAAACCATTCTGTGATTCTATGATTCTGTGACTTTATTTTTAATTTATTTTAATTTATTTTAGCTCTGGCTAAAAAAATCCCAAGCGTGGGATATTTTTTAAGTGCTAAGGAGTACAAACCAGTTGTGGGGGCGGGAGTTTGCTGCTTCCCCCTCCACAGCTGTAGCCCTTCTGGCAGGTTCGTGGAGGGGATTTCACAGCTATTTCTACTCACTGGGTAGTTGATTTAGAGCTGGGAAATTAATTAGAATGGAAACTCTTCTTTCCCTTTATGAGGAGCAAGGGATGTGGTCTGGCAGCTGTAGGATTTGCAGCTCTCAGGGAAGAGGGACCATTCAGCAAGACATCTAGGCAATGCCTACCTGTGGATACACATCTTTTTTTTGTCTGAGGTGTCAAGGAGGAAAAAATGCTACAAAATGGCTTAAATATAGATGTGTTTTGATATTTTTTTAATTGAGTTTCATTTCCCAAATGCAACTTAATGCAAACAATAAGTAAAAAATTAATTTCTCTTGGGAAAAAGCTATTAACAGAATGATTCTGTTTTAGCAGCATGTGAAGCTGTATAATTGCTTACATATGTATTGCTCTAGTGTGTGCTCCCAGTTGTTGAATACTATCAAATTATAGGAATCAAAGAGAATCAACTATTTTTAAGGGAAATGTCTAGAAGCTACATACTGAAACATGATTAAAATTCAGGATTTCCAGCTTATTCGTCTAAATCAGCAATTTTAATCACATTATTCAAGTCAACCCACCCTCAAACACACTTTTGACTTCAAAATACCCCAAACTAAATAAGACAGAAGACCTTCCTTGAACAGCTGTAACATTTTTAAATGGCAATGTCAATCTTTTTGTTGAAAGCAGAGATGTTTTTCATGGTTTATTTATTAAAGCAGCGCATTTGTCCTGCTGTGCCATGAACCTGGGCTACCGTGCAGAGTGGCAAGGAGAAATCCCTGGAGCGCCAAGAGCTGCTTAAACACATCAGAGTTTTGCTCTGGGGTTGGGATGCTCTTGGTTAAATCTCATTTAGTGTGCAAAGCAGGAGCAGGAAGAGTTTGTGTCCTGGCTGATGCAGCCTCTGTAATTTGGCTGTGCTGGGTGTGCAGCTCGTCAGCACCAGGTCTGGGTTGGGTTTTATTTCCTGCTGGCTGAGAATAGAAACGGGAGGCTGGGCTCCTCTTGGGCCTGCTCCTGTGCTTTGCCTTAGGATGATTCTCTCAAGCAAAGCCCACCTACCTTCCTCCTCTGCCCAGGCAGGCTGATGTGGCTGGATGCAGCCAGAGCTGCCCTGGCAGGGCTGTTCCTGGCTGGTGACAGCTCAGAGCTGCTGCTGGGGCTGTGCCCTGGCTGGCCCAGTGCTGGTGACATGGCCAGGGAAGGGAAGGACGCTGGCTGCGGGGGGAGGCACCCGGCTCGCCCCTCGCTTTGCCTCCCGAGTGCATCGGTGGCTGCAGAGGACAGGATTGTCCTCCTGCGCCCTCTGCTCAGCACGCCATGGCATTTTGTTCTGAAACAGCCTGGGCTGGCAGGGACCTTAGAGCGCATCTCGTTCCACCTCCCTGCCGTGGGCACGGACGTGTCCCACTAGAGCAGGTGGTCCTTTGCTGTGTTTTTCTTGCTGGCGGAGCCCTGTCTCGGTGAGCCAGAGACAGGAGATGTGGAGTTGCCCTTTTCATGGAGATCCTACAAAGTCCTTTCTGACTCCTCCTTCCAGCTCCACCACCAGCGAGGGCCACAGCAAATTCCTGCAGAGCCCAACTCTCAGCGTGGGAGGATGCTCCCATAGACAGACAAAGATTAAAGGTCCTGCATATCACAAGCTTGAGGAGTGGGAGGAGGTTGGGATCTGTCCATGGGAAGCATTCCAAGCCTGTCCTCCCATAGTTTAAGATGGGGAGATAATCACATGTCCTCTCACATATCCAACCAATGCAAGCTCCAGTGGACAGGACTGATGGAGAGAAAGAGGGTCTACCAGAAATGCAAACCTTGTTTTAATAGGAAATCCTCCAAGTTGGATTTTCCTGGTTTTTTCTAAATGCATTTATACCAACTGGATGACTACAGGCTTTGAAATATTTCTGTCTGAATTGTGACAAACATCCCAGTCTCATGTAGGAAGCACCAGGTCCTTTGATCAGCGAAATGTCTCTTTGGGCTTGAACAGGGAGGGATCAATCCAGTTGTTCCTGAGACCAGAGCTTTTTGTCTGTGAGTACATTTATGGTACAAAATAATTACCCTTGTCTTCACTTCCCTTTGGTAGGAGATGCTCCCTGTCTCCTGCAAGCTGTTACTCTATCCCAGGTATCTTTTTAGGTAAAAGTAAGACAGAAAGGAAAAGCTGAATAGGGAATCCTCCTCAGGAGGGAGGAAGCTGTGGTCTGTCTGTCCACCTGTGAGCAGCTCAGTGGCTGTTCAGCTGCAGCGTTGCTGTCCTGGGCAGGCAGAATTCCTGCATTAAGAGAAGAAGAAATGCCATCAAGAAATAGCAACCAAATATTGCCTCCTCTTCACCGCAGTGCTGGGCTGGCCGTTGAGATATGTTTGTGGTGAACTGCTGAAAAACATTCTGAATTTCCTATTTTTTCTGCATTTAAAATTTCCTGTTTTATAAAAAAAATATTTTTTCCTATTTCTGTATTTAAAACCAAAGTTTAATGTATTCTGTGTATTTTTGTTGGCAGATAGTAGTGATCATAAATTCCCTTTAATACAGCATTTGCACACCAGCACAGCCTTGATGTGCAGCGTACCTGGCTGTACTCTGCAGGATGCTTTGATTTCCCTTTGGTAGATGCATTTTATTCTGTCTGCCCCAATCAGCAGCAATTCCCCTTTCTCCATGTAGCCTCCAAATCTACTTCTGGTGTGGAGTTTTGGTGCTCTCCTAGGAGCTGGGCTGGAAGGGACAAAGGAACTGGGGTTTTCTGGGTTCAGGGTTCTACCTCCACTGTGGCTCAGAGCCAGCCTGGCAGCACAGGGACACCTTTGGTGGCTCGGGGTGGCATTTCTGGGAGGGAAAAACAGCCCTTTAGGGGGGCTACTGGATGGGAGCAGGGGCAGTGGTGGATATACCACTCCTCAGCATGTGGGATGAAGCTTTTCTCCCCTTCTCCCAGGGAGGAGAATGTGCCCTCAGCTCCCAGTTCCTCCCAAAGCTGGGAGCAGTGCACGGGCCATGAAATAACGTGACCTTTGTTTGTAGGTCAGGCTGTTCCGGCAGGATCACACGTGCGGCTGAACCTGGAGACGGGAGAGAGAGAAGCCAAGCTCCCAGACAGAGAAAATGGGGAAAGTGGAACAAAAGAAGAGAGAAGAAGGAAAAGGTACATACATGCAAGGCTGTGCAGGGGTGGGCTGTGGGATTCATGCCTTTTATTAGAGGCCAGGCTCCCAGGTGTGCTCAATTACTGCCTCTTCCTGAGACTTAATTGCTGGGTTAGGAGCTCAGCAGTGCTGGAAGCAGAGCCCTGTCCTTTGTGATCCCTTTGGGATGGTGGTGGAAGTGCCCTGAAAGCACATTCAGAGGCACCTTCATGGTTTCTCATGCCATGACACCGAAACTAAATTGACAATGTGTCTTCTTTGAATGAGATTTAGCTCTTTGAAGTATCTGCAGCAGGTGCTCTGAAACAGCTTTCTGAGCCCTGGGATCAGCTGTGAGGGACTCAGCCAGCTACTGTGTCCCAGCTGGGATCAGCCCACAGCCTCACCTTCACACCAGGCACTACCAGGCTCCCTGGAGATCACACCTTCCCTGCAACCACCTTTTTAAATGTCCTTAAAACTGCGGCTGCTGCTGACTTTCTGCTTGTAACCCTCTGAGAAAAGACTGGTTTAGTTACGAGGGGAAATACTCTCCTGGAGCGCGTCTGCTATTGCAGGACCTCTGCGATGAGGATGCTGGGGGAGCACGAGGCTTTTGGGTCAGGGGCTGAGCTGGGGGCCCTGTTGGGCCCAAATCCCCCAGCCAGTGCCCCTGCAGCTGTCAGCCAAGGGGGGACAGGGGCCAGTGGCCGCTGCCTGCAGCAGGAAGGCGGGCAGGGCGAGGATCCCCACGCTTGGCTTTTGTCTCTTGAACAATGCGGGCACGGGGCAATGCAAAGCGGGGAGGAAGCAGAGGCCGGAGCCTTTGGAGGCTCCAAGGCTGAAACAGCAGCCCCTGCAGCAGCCCAGATGCAGATCCCACAGTTCCCGAGGCTGCCATGGCCTTCAGGGCATGAACGGGGCCTCATGGCCTCCCTGTGGCCTGATGGCCAGGAGTCCCGTGGCTGCAGAAGGTTTCCTGCCTGCTTAGGTGGCATCGCTGCAGGGGCTGCTCCTGTCAGAGCCCCCTGTCTGCTGGTGACAGCTTTGCTCTTGGGACACGGCCCTGGCCCAGCCCAGGACCACGAGCGGGGCCCAGTGCTGGGTCAGTGGGACGTCCCCGCGCACAGGGACCCCCCAGGCCCGGGGAGCCAGAGCAAGTGGAAACCACAACTGTGCAAACGCTGCCTGTGCCCAAAGGAATTGCAGAGAGAAGTGTGCTTTTAAAAATAAATAGCATTTATTTACCTAAGATCAGCAGATCCTAGGCTTTAGAGAACACTTTTCATTATAAGAAACCCTATAACAACAACAATCTATAGAACGTATTTACATGGGGCCTATAAACTAACGATCTTCAAAACATATTTACAGCAAATAACTAACATGAAAAAACGTATGTACAAAGGGGACATATCCGTGGCCATGGTGTCTGGAGGAGAGTCCTGGATGGTCATCCAGGTAGAAAGGCAGCAGCAGGGCAGGACTCTGCTGCTAGCCTTGAGCGCAGCTGGGGCTGGGAGCCAGGCTCCAGGCGCCGTGATGGGGCAGACGTGGTGCAGAGGCAGAGCAGGGTGGTTCAGGTGGTGGATCCACTCCGCCTTGGGGAGGACATGGGGAGCATCGACCTGTTCTTCTGTGGAGGCTCCATCTTCATCCAAGGATCATGGGCTCCTCTTCATCCTTCTCATCCACCTCCATGTCCTCGATGCTGTCCTCCACATCCACCTCCATGTCCTCAACACACTCTTCCACGTCCACCTCCATCATTTCTTCCATATCCAGCACCATGTCCACTTCCATGTCCTCTACAGTGTCTCCGGTTGCCTGTGAGAGGAAGCACAACCTCTCAGTGGGGTCCTTGTCCCACAGCAACCCCACAAGGCCACGGCCTGCCCGGGCAGTTGGGGTGCCCCCGGCCTGGAATGGTCCCGTACCTTCCCCGCGACAGGAGTGCACATCCTGCTGGGCTTGGTGCTTCAGGACAGGCAGTGGGAGAAGTCCAGGAAGCAGGAGAAGTCCAGGCAGCAGGAGCAGCTCAGCACTGGCACAGAGAGCGGAGACGGAGTGACAACTGACCGTTGTTGAGGTGTTGTCCGTGCTCATTTCCAGGTCCTGGACATTCCAGCTGCATCACTCTGCCAGCTGTGATGTCACAGTGCCACACTCGACAGTGGCAGATGGGGATGGTGGAATGATCAAATCCTTGAATGGTTTGGCTTGGAAGGGGCCCTAAAGATCACCTGGTTCCAAGCTGAGCAGCCTCCCAGCACACCAGGTTGCTCCAGGCCATGTCCAGCCTGGCCTTGGATGTTGCTGGGGATGGGGCATCCACAGCCCCTCTGCCCAGGTGCCTTTCTCAGGGATAAACACCCTCACAGTAAACTTCTTCCCATCATCAAATCTATTCCAGCTGTCTTTCCGTTCGGTCCCCTTTCCCGTTGTGCTGTCTCTGCAGTGTCTGAGGAAGAGTGGCCCTCCCGCTTCCCTGTGGGCCCTTCCCTCAGTGGAAAGGTGCTCTGAGGTCTCCAGTCAAGCTTCTCCTCTCCAGCCTCAGCAGCCCCAACTTTCTCAGCCTTTCCCCACAGGGAAGGTGCTTGAGTGCCCTCAGCAACTTTGTGGCTTCCTCTGGCACTCAGCAGCTTCTCTGGGAACAACGGGGGACATCAGGCCTGGGGTGTCCCACAAGCCCTGCAAGGCGCTGGCCTTGGGAATCGCCAGGGCCTGGGAGCTCTGTGCTTGCCAAAGTTACAGAGAGAGGAGAAGAAAATGAAGAGGAGCAGAGCAGGGAGCCTGAAGGAGATGGAAAGAGATGGAGAGCTGGTGATCCTGGGTGCCTGTGCAGTGTTTTGGAGGCTTTAACGGTGCCCCTGGTATCTCTTCCAGGGCTGTGGGGATGTTTTTGGTGGAGGAAGTCCAGCAGAAGGTTTCTGATCACCAGTGTGTAGAAAATGAACTTTGGCAGAGGTTGAGTTTTCCTGGGATGCAGTTTCTGGAAAGAACATCTGAGCAAACTTCTGCCAGATCTTGGTGTTTCTGGGGCTCCCTGTGCACGGGGGTGTCCCAGTGACCCAGCTCAGAGCCCTGCTCATGATCCTGGGCCGAGGCAGGGCCGTGTCCCCACGAGCAAAGGTGTCACCAGCAGAGAGGGGGCTCTGACAGGAGGAGCAGGGAGCGGCCCCTGCAGCAGTGCCACCAAAGGCGTTTCTGGAATTTCTGGGTAATTTCTGTGTGGATTTGCCCTTGCCCTGGCTCTGTGTACAATGGTGTCGTTGTTTTAAAGGATAAGTTAAAAAATCACTATAAATCTTAGTAATTTCTTGTTGGGAGTTATGGATTAGAAGTAGGTCAAAACAGGCTTAAAACTTAAAAAGGAATAAAGCAAGTTTATTAACAAAACTACAAGAGTAAGAAACCTGAATAAAACCTCCAGAAACCCTTGTTTTCCCCATGCCAAATCATTCTTTTGTTCACATAAGAACATTGAAACAAAAAAATCCTGGTGATTAAAACAGTCCCAACTTTGCTGTAGTCTGTTCAGCAGTCTTTGCAGAGAAAAAGAAGTCCTCTTTTGTTAATCTATGGAGGTTTTCACAAGAAAACCATTGTCTCATTGTTTTCTATTTCTCAGATGCTGCCTCCCGGAAACTCTGCCATCTGTCCTTTCCTCCCATTTCACACCACTCTGAGGTGTGTTCCTGGGCCATAGGTCAAGGGGTGTCATTTTAAGGATGAGTTCTTCAAAGGCAAATGTTCTCTTCATCTGTCTCTGTGAGCATCTCTGGAAACAGAAGTTTTCTCTTTGCCTCTTAAGGGCCACACATATTCAACAAGTCTCACTTCTCCTTTTTTGTTCCAGCATCTCATAAGATCACAACTACTTCACCATTTACTCAGCTTTATCAATGAATTACTTTTGCTGATATCCACACTTTGAAATACTCCATTCCCCCCAACATACTGTTTCATGAATTAAAGGAGTTTTTTCAGAACATTATTGTCTATCTCCATAGTTTTAGCAAAAGAATATTTCAGCTTATTAAGGCACCTGCTTATTTCTCTCCCCATCTGAAGCTTAATTCCTTTCTTCACTGTCTTTGATAGTTTATGTTGGCTCTTTACATGTTGATCACCCTCTCTCTTTCCCTCTCTCTGGAAAAAAGGGATTAATCTGCAAGTCTCATCTGGGTAGTGAAAAAGTTAAAATCTTGCCCAGGCCTTGTGGACGGTCTGGTGATCTCTGCTGGAGCAGTGGCTGGAGCTTTCTGGGATGGAAGATTTTTCATGGCTCCTCTGGGGGAGTGTGGTCACTGTCTCAGCATGCTTTCAATGGCTTTCTCTCCCCTTACTCAGCAGTCTCTGGTGAAACTGAGCAGCAGCAGAAACTGCAGCCGAGCCAGGAACCAGCCTGGCCCAGCAGCCCCGCTGTACAAGGCCCAGCGAGTCCTCTGGGAAGGGGCTCCTGTCACTTCACGGTCTCCATCCTTCCCAGGACCTGCAGAACTCCAGCCAGCCCTGCTCCCCCCACCGCAGCCTTGTCCGGCCTGGGGGAAGGAGGCTGAACTGGAGCCCTGGTACCTCTTCAAAAGTCAGAAACCAAAGAGAGCAAGAAATTCCTGGGCTTAGGTCTTAAGGTGGCATTCACAGGTTGATCTCACTTTTCAATGGCCAAAATTACTGTCAATTTTCAGAAATGGCCAGTTATTGGCCAGGAGAAGAACTCCCATCAACCTCCAGCAGCCTTAACTTCCTTAGGTGTTTCCCTTTGTTTCTTAAATGCCGATCCATCACAAATGGTACTAAGCTGAAATCGGCAGGTTGAAGCTTGCAAGCCCTTAGGAATGATTTAGTGGCAGGGGACATTTGTGTGCAAGATGAAATCCTGAGGTATCAATTAATCAGCTGGTTTTATTGTGGTAGGACTTGAGATTTTGGGTCAGCAGGCTGATTGCAGAGCCCCTGATTGTCAGGGTGAGGTGTGAACCCCAGACAGGATCCAGCACTCAGACCAATCTTTTCTGGAGTGTGGTGGGTTTTTTTCATCCCTTTCCTCCTTCTCTTAGCCATTGCTAGAATGTTGCAGTGAAAATAGAATAGAGGCAGTTGTTCACTCATAACATGTTCTGTTTTGTTTTGTTTTTTCTGCAAGGCTGGGCAAGGTCGATGTCAATACAAATTCATTCACATCCGAGGAGCTCAAAAAGACCTTGGCTAAAATGAAGGAAAGTGAGAAGGCAGAAAGGAAGGTGAGTTTCCTGTTCCTAAAGCAATGTATTGAGCAGGGGTGTGACGACACCCTGCAGAAATTCAACAGTTAAAATGATTGCTTGGAAACACTGTGCAAACTAATCTTGTGGTGAATATGGGCCTAAATTACCTTTGCTAGCCCATTAGTGATACTGTTCCCTGGCTTCTCTGTATGAGTCTATGATTCTGTGAATGGTTTCAGTTAGAAAGGACCTTAAAGATGAACCAGTGCCTCCACTATCTTCCAGGCTGCTCCAAATCCCAATCAAGCTAGCCTTGGACACTTCCAGGGATCCTGGGGTAGCCACAGCTGCTCTGAACAATGTAATTTATCTGTTCCACTGCTGCTCAATTCACAAAAATGTCTGCAGTCCCCAAGGGGGACTGGATTGCAGCTGATCGTATTTACAGAGGGAGTTACTTTCCCTCTCACCACCCTCCTTGCTTTCTGCTTCCAGCCTCGTGCCCTGCATAGCAAAACCCAAATGGCCATGGTGAAGCAGGGGCTGAAGTTTCCTTACACAAGCTCTGAGCTGTCCATTTAGTTACAAACATTCCAGAACCCTAAGTAAATAGCTGGGATGATGTGTGACTCATCAGGTGCATCATAGCCTCTTTCCCTTCTCCCTTCTCCCTTAACCCTCGCTCCTTCTGCTGCCTTGGTGTTGGCTCACTCCAACGAAAACTGAAAGAGGAGTCAAGGCTCTAAAGTTCTGGTGTCACAGAAAGGTTTTTTTCTCCCCTTGTGTGGCAGCAGGGCATGATTTCGTTTGCTGGGAGATTATTTCCATAGCAGTGTTGCTGATTGATTGCAGGGCTGCTGGAAAGGGCTGCTGGAAATGAGGATCATTGAAATGCAGAAATTAGTGATTTCACTCTATTAGGTGAAAATAAGCCATATTTTAAAACCCCCTGTTAGAATAGCTTTTGTCCCGGCAACTGGGCTAAAAGCAGCTACATCTAATGGACCTAAAGTATTCCATTTGCAGTCACTCCTGTGGAGAGCAAATCCATCCTTGAGGGCTCTGTGTCAGAGGAAATGGAGTTACACTGAGCCCCTCTGTGCTCCAGAGAGGGGTACTGGGGATGCTGGGGGTGGACTGGGATGGCATTAATTACCAGTGGTGATTAATCATTCCATTGACACAGCTTTCACCTCCATTGCTCACTTGGTTTTCCCCTGGTGGCTTCAGCTCTTGGCTTCTGTTCCCTCATGGGGAGCAGGATGTGCAAACCCTTCAGCTGGGGCTTGCTCTGCATGCAAACACATCTTGTTATTTTTGACAAATTCCTTTCAAAAGGGGCTTTCTGCCGTTCTACTGTCCTTGGGGTAGCCCAGCTCCAGCCTGGCCTCTCTGCTGCTGCTGTCCCCTGCAGCAGCAGGCTGTGTCCCCAGTGCCACCAGTGCTGATGTTCCTGCACCTCTGGGTCTCGCTGAGATCTCAGACAGATCCTTTCCTCCTCACCACATGTTTTGTGTCAGTGCTTGGTTCAGGGCAGCCCTTGGGGTGCTGTTACTGCGAGGGAGATGAGCCGTGCTCAGGACAGGCTGCCTGCTGGCCAGGCCCCATGGCACAGCACTTCACTCCCCCAGCTTGTCACTGCTCCTCCTGCTTCCCTTTCTGACAGCTTCTCTCCCCACACCTTTCCCTGGGAGACAGAGCATCTTTGTCTGTGTCCGAGATCTCCTTAGAGCTGCTGGGCACTTGGGGCTGGATGGGACCCCTGGAGCTCTCCAGCCTCATGTCTGGTTCCAGAGAGGTTCAGCTGTAAGATCAGGGAGCTGGCTTAGGGCTTTTTGCAGGCAGATTTTGAGAACATCCACTTGCAGGCAAACAGAACAGCAGCACTGCTGCCTGCAGGCTTGGTGTTGAGCTGGGAGAAAATGGGATGCAGAAATGGTGCATAAACGGTCTGGAGATGTAGAAGTGGTGCAAAAATGGTCTATAGATGTAGAAATAGTGTACAAATGGTGTAGAGATGTAGAAATGCTGTACAAATGTTGTAGAGATGTAGAGTGGTGTATAAATGGTGTAGAGATGTAAAAGTGGTGTACAAAGCCCTGCTGCTCACTCGTACTGTGGCTATCTCACAGGTAACTGGGTTCCTGGGCTGCTCAGAAGGACCCTCCAACCCTGCCCTTGCACCTCTGATGCACAGCAATAAATCCAGGTTCACAGCCAGTCAGGTTCCCTTTGTAAATGTTCCTTTCTGTGTCTCTTGTCTCTCTTCATCTCCTGTTGTCACATCTGGTTTCCTCCTTCTGTTTCCAAGGCCCGAGAGGAAGAGGTGAGGAAGAAGTTCCGGCCCATAGAGCAGCTGAAGGAGGAGTTTGAAAAGCTGAACATGAAGATAGAAACAGATTATGAAATTATGGTTAAATTAATCAGCAAATTCAACAGCTCTGCCTCCACGCTGGATGAAAAAGTAGCAGCGCTTTATGATCTCGAATATTATGTTCACCAGGTAACAAGAATGCCTCAGTAACTACCGTGTAAAATCCAGGGGATGCAGTGTCATAAATGGGGTTTTATTTTTCTTATCGGTATCAGGTAATACAAATTGCTTAATTACCATAATCCTGGGACAATAACAGACAGCAGAGGACTAGTGCAGGCTCATTTTATATCCAGGTTGGAATTAATCGTCGCTTGTGCCAGGAGCCAGCAGTATTCTAACAGTTGCCTGATTTTGTTGTCTGTTCTCAGCCTGGTTTTCTCATCCTCTCTTTTTCCTCTTTTACCTGCTTAATGTTACAAAATGGGGTTTTAGCTGCCATTTTTGGGTAAATAGAGTGGTGATTGCTAAGAAAATAATTATTTTTTCTCTTCTTCCACGGAAAGCTGCCGTGGTTGAAGGTAGGTGCCCTTACATGAGTTCACAGAGAATATCTTTGTACCAGGGAAGGCGACAGCCACCCAAAAGCCCCTATTTTGTCTTGGTGTGAGTAAGCAGTGGCATGTAGAGCCTTGCTGTGCTAATTAGCTCTCTTTGAGGGTGAACATATTTCCTGGCATCTCGCTTCCTCGGGTTTGTGCTCACACTTTTCCCCCTCCCTCTGATCTCTCTTGCTCTGCTTTCAGCTCACACGTTCCTACCTCCCCTTGGATGCAGCTGCAGGCACAGAGCTCTGCTCCCCTGGGCTTGGTGCCTTGCTTGGTGCCACCCCTGGGAGGTAATCCAGCCTCTGCTCTGCCCTGTGGGAAGGGACTTGGCTTCTCCCTCTCGGGTGACTGGGAGAGCCTGGAGTGCACTGGGAGAGTTTCCAGAGGCACTTTGTCATTTCAGAGGGTGAGTGGGACAACTCTTGGGAGGTGCCAGTGCACACCCTTTCACTGGAACAGCACTTGTTGGACCAAATGTGGTAATCTGGGGGCAGGTAGCTCAAGTACTGCTGCTGTGAGAGGGAGTCCATGTGCCAGCTGATAGAACTGTTATTTCCAGGGCTCTTTGTCTCAAATTTTCACTCATTGTGGGCATGCAGAGGCTCCCTTGCTGTTTGTTCTCCCTGCTTTTGTGTCACTGACGGCATCTGTGTGACTCAGAGAATAACTGTGAACAATGGGCACCCAAAGAGCTTCATATTTGTACTCAGGGCTAATCTTGCCTGATTAAGGGTGCCAGAGCACCAGGCCAGCGTGCTAAAAAGCAGCCCCCAAACACCCTGGGATGCTTTGGATTCCAGCATAAGGGTCTGGACTATTCCAGCAGAAAATCCCTGCAGCACAGGATGGGGCACGCAATTTCAGAATGGCAGAGGAGCAGGGACTGGAGCATCAAAGGGAAGCACATGCAGCATCAAAGGGGTCAGAGAGGGGGAATGGCAGGAGGCTGGCGGGAGCACAGAGGCTCTTTGTGCTCCCATCACAGCGCTGCTCTGTGCCCGCGCTGGCGGGGCAGATGGCTGGGCAGCACCTTCTCGTCAGGCAGGAAGCTGATAAGAAATATGACTTGTCTCTAAGCCAGCATGGCTTTTCCTCCTCTTTCTTCTTCCAGTCAGTTGAATGCGTCCAGAGCATTATCTCTGCTTGGGACTGACTTTAGCAGCACTGGCTTAATGTAATTACTGAACAGCAGCCAAAGGACGCTTGTGCCGCATAACCCTGGAAGGGCTGAGCTGTCAGGACTCCTCTGCAGTGAGTCCCAGTCGTGCCGTGGGAGCAGGGGATCCTTGCAGGTGTGGCTGGCCCAGGCCACATGTGGGGCCACTCTGCTGGTGCCACCTTCCCCTGCCTCCACCAGAGCAGTGCCGTGCCATGGCTTTTTGTTACTGTTCAGCTGTGCTGCTGCTGCCTCTGGGGTGTGGGATGCCCTGTGGAGTGGAAAATGCCATGCCCTGGAGGTCGTGCCAGCAAAGGCTGCTCCCTGCTCTGTGGCATGGCCACGAGTGGCCCAGAGCAGTGGGGTGTGGGGCAGCCCATGCCTCGGAGCATGCCATGGGAGCCAGGGCTGGTGCCCAGCCCGGGGAGATGCTCTCTCCTGCTTTTGAAGAGTCAGCCCAAAGGCTCTGAGTTTGCTCAGCTTTTGGTTGCCAGCTCTGGTTTGCTTCTCCTCAGCCACGATTCAGCTTGGCATGTTCGGGAGCCCGTCTTGGAGAAGGAGCAGGAAGGTTTGGCTGGCTGGGTTATCTGTAACGCATAAAACCCAAATGCAAATGTGGAGAGGGCAGAGCGTAACTCATAAACAGCATTCACGGTGCTTGCACAGCAGTGTGCGGAGCCAAGACCCGTTCTCAGGCATTGCAGGCTCTTTCTCTCAATTATTTACTCTGCTTATCTTCCTCTCTCCTCTCCTCTGACATGCTACACCATCTCTCTGCTAATTTCCTCTCCATCGCGAGCGGTTGACATGCTGCTTTCCCTCGCTCTTGTTTTCTAACATTTTCTCTCTCACCTTCCCTCCCTATTTTCTTTCTCATCCAATTCAAACCTGCTCCCTGAATAACTGCTGTCATATTTGCTCTTCTCCCATCCCTCCCCTCGCCTGCTTTGCCTGTGTACTTTACTCAAGAGCTCTTTTGATCTTTGGTTTTTCTTCTGCACCGATTTCAGTGGACTGAAGCGAGGTAGGAGCTGCTGCCTCACAGCATCCGCTGCTCCCCAGAGAGGTTAATACCTTCAAGTTGTTAAGTTTGGGGATTTTGTTGGTTTTAAAACAGCGAATGAGGGAAGGAGCTCTCACAACAGACTCTGGTTAAAAAAGATAAACACATCTTCAGAATAAGCTTTGCGGCACAATTTATATTCTGCAGTTGTGGTGTCTCACTGGTGCTGGGGCAGCACAAAGGACTCTGGTGCTGCTGAGGTTACAGCAGTGGCTGGTTTTACCACACCAGGTGCTGGATGCAAATTCCTGCCCATCCATACATTCCCTCTCGTGCAGAAGTCAACGTCCGATTTCAGCACTAAACCAGTTTTTACAGAGGCTGAGTAATAAAAGGACCCACTGGCAGCTGAAATTGGGTTGCTGCGTAGATTTCTTTGTAGACAAAGATGGGTCTGCAGAAAACTGAGAGATCTGGCAGACCTGGTTTATAGGGACAGTTAAAAGAACAGCATATGAAAGGATACAAAAGCTGCTGCAAATCCTGAATCAGGCCCAGCAGACCTACAGAGAGCAGCTTTGCAGAGGGCCAGGTGGGTATTGTCCCACTGGGGAGCAGACCTGAGCTGCAGCTCCCCAGGTCCTACTTTGATTGGTAACGACAGACCCGTAGGACACAAAGCTTCTTCCTTCTCCTGGGTACCTGAAATATCTGACTTAGGGCCAATTTTGATGAAGGTACATGGTTGAGATAAATATAACACTGAGCATGAAGTCAGTGACTGGAAGAGTGTCCCACATGCCCTGCACAGCTTGTGGTGTTTGTCCTGTCCCACTCCATAGGGGAATCGGCTCGCCCTGCTGATAACTCATTTTTATATTCTGTTTCCATCTGCCAACGATTGCTGTTGTCTCCCTGTCTTTCAGGGAGGAAAGATGTCGAATTTCTAAACCTGATTTTTCTGTGCAGGCAGTTCTCAGCATTCATCAGATCCCCTTTTAAACTAAAAAAAAAAAAAAAAAAAATCATTGAATACAAAAATGCATCGATTTGACTTTGGACTGAATTTTGTACTTGAAGTACTTTGTGCTGTTTCTCTAAATTTTGTCTGTGAGCACTCAGAGCCTTTTCTGATCTCCTCTCCAAGAGCAGATGCCTGCTGGGACTGTGCCTGGCTAGCCCCTGATCCACTTAGGGCCAGAAGCTGATGAATCCCCACTAATGTGTAAACTTTTCCCTACTGGCAGTTAATCCATTATAGTTTGCTTAGAAAAATCATGGTGGGGCTGCTCCCTGGGGAAGGTCCTGGCTGAGCCCTCCATGCAGGGACTGGCTTTTTCTTTCCTTGTCCATGGGAAGTTGGAACTCATGGAGAGCTCCCAGAAGTGCCCATGCTCCTCACTCTGGTGCCACCTGTGCACCCTATTGGTGCTGACAGCCTCCCAAACATCCCTGACTCCTGGTGCTACAATTACAGCATCAATTCATCGTCTGCATTTGCAAAACATGCAATTCCCCTGCTCCCCAGTAAAGGCCTGCTCAGGGGAGAGCAAAGAGCTGGAGAATATTTTGACATCAGCAGATGTACCGAGTTTTTGACACCACCTGAATTACTGAAATACATGTCAAGAGCAGTTTTGATAGCTATAATCAAAGTATTTGTGTATCCAGCCATGCTTTCTGTGCGTGTGTCTGTGCTGCTGGGCAGGACCGTGCAGAGTTCAGCCACAGCCACTCCCTCCAAATTTTAAATTCCTTTCAAAACCCCGTGCTGGTTAGAGTGGGAGAGAGGGGATGCTGTGGGTGTGAAGGGAGGTGTTCTCCAGGGGCTGGGGGTTTGTGCTGATGGGAGCTGCTCTTTCCCAGGTGGACAATGCCAAGGATTTCCTGTCCATGGGCGGGCTCCGGCTGCTGATGGAGGGGCTGAACAGCAGCGAGGCCTCGCTGAAGGAACATGCTGCCTTTGTCCTGGGAGCTGCCCTGTCCAGGTGAGACCTGCCCTCAGCTGGGCTCCATGCCTCTCTTCGCCTCTCTTGGCTCATTTCTGACAGCTGTGTTGTGACACGCCACAAAATTGTCTTGTTCCCTTGCAACACCCATTCCCCTTCTCCTCAGTGTGTCCTCATCTTGCTCATTGGGTGTGTCCAGAAGTAATGTGGTGTCAAATCTGTGATTGTTGCTTGATTTCCCTGGGCTCCCTGTTCACACAAAGTCCAATGGGGGAATAATTCTCCTTCTGTCCCCTTGGCAGACCTGTCTGGGGGAAGATGTGCAGGAGGGTTGCAAGCACCCCAATGAACCCCCCTGTCCTTCCTCTTCCTTGCTCCTGGGCTGCTTCAGGATGGCAAGGTGCTGATTTGAGCAGCTCCTGTGGTCTTTGGAGCGGGGTTTGGGCCCCATGGACATGTGCCTCTGCCATCAAAGGGGTGTTGAGTAGATGTGGGGTCAGGAATAGGGTGAACAGCCAGAATCAGAGGAGACTGAGCTGCAGGATGTTTGACCTGCTCTGCCTCATGCTCAGGCATCACATGTAGTGCTGCAGGAGGTGTCCTGTGGACTCCGTGGGCTTTCTTGGTGCCCCCTTTTTGATTTATGGGGTCTGGGGCTTTGCAGGGGGTGTGCTGCACATTCAGAGGTGCAGAGGCTTTAGAAATGCATTGGATGGACTTAAACTTGAGGATCAGAAGTGCAGAGTGAAAACTGAAGGTCAGGACTGCTTTATCTGCATATTTCTACACCTAAAAATACAGTCACCTTCTCCAGCATCATGAATTATTGATGGCTTAGTCTAGCACATGGTCCACAGACCTGCATTTATTCAGCAATCTCGTATGAAATGCAGTTGGCCCTCAGCGTGAGTGGAGTGAGGGGGCCTCGTGGACAGGAGCAGGTACCCAGATTTATACCAGGAAAGGATCCAGCTTCTAGTCCGAAACAGAGCCTGGCTTAGTGATGACAGGAAGATTCTTCAGAATCAACACCTGCTCTTCACATTCTGGTGTGTCTCAGTCTTTGAAACAATACTGGAGTGGTTTGCTCAGGTTCTTCATGTAGATTCTTTATCCACACAGAGAAGATCACACAGAGGGTCTGGAAACATTTGCAGGTAACTTGTGAAATGACAGGGGCTGATAAAGAGCTTCTCTCCAGATGTACCTGGCGTGACATGGCCAAGACTCCAAAAATTCATTGTCTCGTGGTACTTGACAATGTAGCAGTGGCCACGAGAGTGACACTTTTGTGTAGTATTTCTCACTCAAGTGCTAAAAACTTCTTTGGAGAGAACCTCTCATCTGATATGACAGCATTAAACTGCTGCTTTGCAAACTTGTGGACCTTTTTTCTTTGAAGGACATTCTGGCAGATGGTAATTTGGAGTGGTTTGGATGATACATTGTCTGAGAGCTCCATTCCAAAGTGTGAGGGATATTATGCCTTGGTTTGAGTTTGCTTTTTCTCCCCTTGCTGTGCTTAAGCTTTCTCAGTAGACACCTACATGCCAACTTGTCTGCTGTGTGCTCACTGCTTAATTCGTTTGTTCATACATTTTCTCAGCTTACTCCATGCTCTAGTTAAACTGTCGGGGGCATTTCAGGTACTTCACACAGCATTTTGTGTTTTTCTGAGGGCTTGTTGTTTATTTCCTTCTCTCACAGTTGTTCCTGGGAGGCTCAGAGAGGTGGTAGGGCTTTCCAGCAACCTCCCAGAGGTGTCACAGCTCGCTGGGCTGCAGGGACATGATCTGCTCTGTGCTTGTGTGCCTGGGGCTGGTGTCAGACCCTGTGCTGGATGCTGAGCTGGGGAAGAGGCAATGGTCTGCTGCTCACCAAATGGGTCTGTGGCCACCTCCCAGGTCTCTCCAGCCAGGTTGGCTCAGGCCTGCAGTTTCAAGCCAGGCAAACATTCCCAGAGGGAAATCAGGGCATGATGATAGCAGCTCCAGAGCCTGGCATGGGAGGTCAGTAATCCTGGCACAGCTCAGTCTGGAAGGGGGAGTTTGGCGTTGTCTGTAGACAAGTGTTTAACACAAGAGGAGCCCACTGGACACAGAGCGGTGCCTGGGTCACATCCAGAACTTTTCAACCCTCAGAAATACCCAGATCTTCTCCAGATTTGCATTGTCCTTAACTCTGCTCAGGTAAGGAAGCAGGTAAGGGATGGAAGAAGCAGCTGCAGCGCCCAGGCCCTGCATGCACGTGGTCCTGCCAGGACCTGGATCAGAGCTCTGGCTGTACTGGAAGCCCATTGGAATGAAAGGGTTTTCCAGGGGATCAGCTTCTTGAGCCAGCAGGCCAGGGGGCTGGCCAAGAGTCAGATCAGCGAAGGCAGAAGGAGGAGAAGGTACAGCAGGGCCAGCTCAGGATTTCTCCTTTCTGATATTGCTCCTGTTTATTTGGCTTACAGCAGACTTGAAAAGCAGCCACAGCACAGCATGATCTGGGGCACAGGGTCCTGGGGTCCAGCTGCCAGGATCTGACCTCTTAGCATCCATCTGCCATAGGAAAGGCAGATTTCTTCACCTGACAGGGAGGAAATCAAGGTTTCATCTCATGTTTCTCTTATATGTCCTTCACTTCAGGCATTTGGGTTTTAATTGCTGAGTCTGTGACCAAATCAAACATTGTTCCATCTGGTGGAGTTCTCTGAGCAGTGCCCTTATTGCAAGTCTAAAACCTCATCACACTCTTACTGTTTTTAAGCCTTTAACAAAATGTTTTTCCATTCAGCAGTTTGCAAAAGTAAACTTCATTTGAACAATCCTCAAGTGCTCTGATTGCAAATAAAAGTTAAATGCACTAACAAAAATAATTGCTAGGCATGTGGGGTTGTACATTTAGGTATCCATAATTCACTAACAGTATATGCCAATACACAGCATTATCTGGATTTCCAGTGATTGCATTAGCATAAAAGCATGTTAGCATTTATCCTGTGGTACTAACATTTAAATATATATAAGTATGAAATATTAAGATCCAGCATTTTGGAGGCAAGTGAAACTACTGTCTGTAAAATGTTCCTGCATATTTTGAAGGCACACTCCAGTATCTTCGCATGACAATCAGCATTCGCACCATTGGGTCCAAACATTACAAAAATGTCAATGTTTTATGCAAAGAGGAGCTATATTAAGCTAAAAAAGATTGCTGATGAGAGAAGTGTCTTCTGATGTCCTCTGAGCTATTTACAGGCAGCGTCTCCCTTTGTTGGTGGCACAGCCAGGCCTCTGTGCAGTCTCTATCTCCATGTTTCACAAGACTGGAAATGTTAGCCAGAAAGGATTATGCTTGAGATTAAAACCTCCATTTTTGAAAACTTTACCTACAGGAAACGCTTTTCCACACCAATAATTTGGGCATTTTAGTATTTTGTAATAAAAGGATTTTTGTAATCCGTTTAGAAGGGGAATAATAATTTATGTTGAATGCCTTCTTGAAGCTTTATCCCAAATGCTCCCCGTGCGCTTAGGGGTGAGTTGGAGGTGAGAAGTTAAGCTGCAAAAGGAAGCAGTTTGTATTTCATGGGGACAGGGCAGAAGGCTCAGAAGGTGAGATTTTGGCCTGGCCAAAGTGGGGACCTGGGAGAGCAGCCGCTTGTGCAGCTGCAGTCAGAGACTCATGGCATTTTGGCCAGACCTTTAAAAACCCCTATGCTGGGGTGGCCAGGGACAAGGATGTCACACTGATGGTCCAAGCTGACATTTGCCACGTGTCCTAGAAGGGACAGCCCCAGCACAGCCTCTGCCCCCGCACTGCTGGGCTCTCACTCTGCCCTTTTGTCCCTGAGTGCTAAAATAACCCCCCAGGACTTGGTGACAGCTTGGAAGTAAACTCATCACAGGTGATAAGTGAAGCACGATCCTGTAGCAACACCCAAGAGTTTTCCATGGATGGTCTTAGCTGTTTCCCAGAGATTAAACCCCTTAAAGGATGACCTTTATCCTGAATATCCCATCCACTGTTATTTGCATTACCAGCTCTGAGGCTGGTCCAGAGCTTGCCCCACTTTGGTGAAGCCAAGAGAGGCACAAGACGTGTGTTTGCTTCTCAAGAGAAGCCTCAGAGGAGCTCCCTGAGCGATGGGCTTTGTTTCTCCTGCTGTGCTGGGGTGTCCAACAGGGCTCAGCCTCGTGGGGTCCACCTGCTTTTGGTTCTGCTTTTCCATTCTCTTTTCTGAGGGAAGAAGGATGTGGGAATGCTGTCTCTTGCTCTGTCCATCAGTCCCTTGGTGCTGTCCATGCTCCCAGAGCACAAGCGTTCCCTGCTCTGTTGGAGAAGCAGCAGCTCTTCCAGAACGCCTCTGTCAAGAGGAAAGAGCTTCCACCAGATTTAAGGGGCTTGAGTTAGGTCCAGCTGTGCACTGAAACTGGTTGGTGCTCACTGGTGTTAAATAACACAGAGGCCCAAGCAATAAACCCGGGAAAAGTAAAATTAAAGACCTTGCTTCGATGCTGTCTTGTAAGGACATAAGAATTTCTGTGCAGAGAAATAAATCTGGTTAGCTTAACAAGCACTGTCCCTACCCATTTATTTCCAATCCATCTTCATCCCTCCCTCCTCCAGCTTCTCCTTTTACATCCTGCAGTATTTGCCCATCTCTTTATCCACTTTTCCTGATTTTTTCAGTGGCCCTGTTTGGCCACACCATGTGTTTGCCATCTCCCAGTTGCAGTAATTCCAGCTCCACTCCTTGACTTATAATTTCTTGCTTTGTGGATTGTCTCTTCTATTTCTGTTTGAACTCCTGACTTGTGTGGAGTTATCAGCCTCACTGCACTTAATTTCAAATTAATTTGATTGGGTCACCTCGATTTTTTTCTGTAATGATAATGAACTCAACCTATTTAGCCTTTCCCCATTATGAATAACCTTAACAAAAACTGCAGTGCAGTATAAATGGGTGTTTCATCATTGTGGTTAATTACACAGAAGAATAAATCCCTAAACATTTTTCAGCCTCTGAAATCTAACAAGGAAGTGTAATTAAC